AAATTTACTATTTTTTTTATCAAAAATGTATTATTTGGGGATAAATCTTTAGAGTGCTCTTCTCAGAAGTTGGAGCAACTTTGAAGACACCAGACAGAACAGAACCCTCCATGTTTATGTTTATTGGCCATTGCCAACAGGAAAAGCTATTTTTAATGTGTCATCGGGCTGCATGGGAGTTCTAGGAAAGGAATGTACCAATTCAGAACCTTGTTTTTCCCTTTTCTTAAAATGAGAGGTTTACAATTTTATTCATCTCATAAAACAAAATAAAAAAGCAGAATATAGTCTAGAAAAGAATGGGACTTTAAATCACTACAGAATTCTAAGAAGTTTTTGTGCACTAACTACATATCGTAAGTGTAGAAATTTATGATTAATTGTAGAAAAATGCAGCAGTGCTGTTGCATTTTCTGAGCATTTCCGCTTTCTTCCCTGGTGGCTGGGAACACAGCCTTGGTAGCCATAGTAACCTGAGGGCTTGGGAGGAAGGCAAGGTGCTTGATTTGTTTTAGCACCTAGCTGGGTGAGTTAAAAAAGAATTTCTTTGGAGGCTTCGCTTTTGACTCCAGCAGGGTGCCCAAGTGAGAATTTTTCTCTCTAAGGCTGTTTTTAGAGGCTCAGGTTTTTTTCCTATATCTCTAGGGGTAAGGGTATAAAGAGTTAATTTCCTTGGCTATGATCTTGTATTAATTGAAATGAAGGTGAAGGGTAAGTATAGAATATTAGCAATTTGCCAGGTTAGAGCAACAGGCCAGATTACACTTTGCTGCATCTGCTGTTATAGTAGACAGACTTCTCTCTACTCAATGCCTCCTGTTTGGGGCTCCTTTCTCGTCAATAAGCCCTGTCAATAAAGTTGTGGGGGGACTGGTTTCATGTAGATTTGGCTATGAGAATAAAGGTTTGGCTGAATGAATGTTTTCACACCATGGCTTCATAATGTAGGGAGAGTTATCCAGCAGCCTTACAGGAAAGGTCAGGTTTATACACTGCTGGGATATTATAGAAGGGGAAAATGTCATAATTTCAGAAGATTTCTACAGAATTGACAGTGACTTATCCAAACAACAGGTGCTCCCGCAGCTCTGCAAAATGGGTCCTCCACAACATCATATTGTTGTGGATTTGTCCAATAGATCTGTCAGTTGTATATTTACTGTATAATCTAGACAACTGATACAAGGTCTATACAATTATTAATATACTCTGGAAACTCACAAATTATTAAAAAATTATCCTTAGTCTAGGCCCAAAAAAGGGGATTCAACTGCTAATAACCATTTGCCTTGTTTATTTTGAGAATCTTTCACCGACGCCCAGGGCGACGTACGGTTAGAGTGGCTGGCCACAGCATAAGAGATCCTCTTGTCTCTGTTTCCTTGATCCTGGGATTATAAATGAACCACCATTTGTTTCTTTAGTGGGTTTTAGGGGCTGAAAAAAAGCAACCATTTGGTCAATGGAGCTGTCAATTGAACCTATTACAAGTAAAATTGTCATTTCTATTTAGTAATTTTGTTTTCATTAGTAATGTATAGAAATGCAATGAATTTAACTGTATTTTGCTACCTGGCTAAATTCATTTTAGCTTTAAGGGATTATATTTTAAATTTTATTTGCTGAGACAGGGTCTCTGTGGTAGTTTGAATGTAACTGGCACCATATTCTCACAGGGAATAGCACTATTAGGAAGTGTGGCTTTGTTGGAGTAGGCATGGCTCTATTAGAGGAAGTGTGCCACTGTGGGGGTGGGTTTTAAGGTTTCCTATGATCATGATACCACCCAGTGTCTTGGTTTACTTTCTGTTGCCTGCAAGATATACAATTATTAGCTACTACTCCAACATCATGATTGCCTGCATGCCTCCATGTTCCTCGTCAGGATGATCATGGACTAAACCTCGGGACTCTATACCACCCACACCAATGAAATGTTTTTCTTTATAAGAGTTGCTGTTGCTGGTCATGGTGTCTTGTCACAGCTAAGACAGTCTCACAATCAGTGAGTGAATGTAGGCCAGTCTTCTCCCAGGGCTGGGACTGAATGCGTATGCCATCACAACTGATTTTAAAACTTTTTATGGGATTTTTTCTGTAAGATCTCATCATTTGTAAATGCTGCTATTCAATTTGGATGCCTTTTTTTCATTGTATTGTCTAACTATCTAGGTTGATTTTTTTTTAATCATGAAAGAATACTGAATTTCGTTAAACCCATCTTCTGTATCAACTGAGGCAACTATGAAGTCATCTCGCCACACCAGTTCCTTCTTAAAATCAAGCGGTGTATTTTACAGATTGGTTTTCATATCCTGAATCACATTTGCATTCTGGGAATAAATTCTGCTTCTTGATGGTATATAACCTATGCTACTAGATTCAATTTGCTAGTATTTTGTAGAGGATTTTTTATATTAAGGTTCGTAAGGATTATTTTTTAGATTATAGTTTCATGTAGAGCATATTTTATTCAGTACATTTTTAAAAATTTCTTTTATTTTATGTGCATGGGGTGTTTTGCCTGCATGTATGTCTGTGTACCATGGTGTGTGCCTGGTGCCCATGAAGGCCAAGAGAAAGCACTGGATTCCCTGAAATGGAATTACAGATGTGAGCTGCTAAGTGGGTGCTGGGAATCAAACCCAGGCTGTCTGGAAGAGTACCAAATGCTCTTAATTACTGAGACATCTTTCCAGGCCCATTATATTTAATATATTTAACGAATGACAGTTATCTAGATTATGAGGAATTCAAAGACTGTTAACATTTAGAAGAATTTGGTCAAATTCCAATGAAAAACGGACAAGAAATTCATATTATATCCTCCACCTTACACATAGAGCCATGACAAAATGTAACACAAATAAAAACTTACCTAATCTGAAGGTCCAGAATAATTTGTCTTTTGTCTACATTTTCAGTATAAACCTTCACACCATTGACTCTAAGGGGCTGAAACAATAAATAATTTAATTTAAAACACAGAAAGGTTTAGAAGCAAACGAACTTACAATACAGCACAGATATGATAAGAGCAAGTTCAGCATCAGACTGCAAGTGTAATTCTGTCTACAGCACACTGTTTAACTCTGACAATTTACTTGTATTCCTCAGTTTTCTCATCTGTAAGATATAAATAACATGACAACCATGTGAGATTACTGTGAAGTCAGATGGTATAATGAATAGAAGCACACTGCAAGGCGTATTAGCAGTAAGTATCCAGTAAACACAGGTATTACTGTTGTTAGCACATGTAATAATAGCCTCATCGCTTTCAATTTAATCTGATCCTCTTCTTCTACTCTATCTTTATTAATACTTCCCATTACTTTTAATTTATGTTTTACAAGTTTTCACTTTGAAATTTCACAAAAATTTGGCTTTTCAGTAGATTAAAAAAAAGAATATAGTTGAGTGTGCAGGCCAATAATCACAACATTTAAGAAGCTGAAACATGGCATTGCCAGTTCAAGGCAGCCTGAAAAATAATAGAATGAGAAAATAGAAATGAATAATACCTAATATATGATACAAATAATTTACTATGCAATCACAAAAGACAAATCATTTCTTTTTTGTGTTGTTATTTTCTTTTGTTTGAGACAGGGTTTCTTTGTGTAGCTTTGGAGCCTGTCCTGAACTCCCTCTGTAGACCAAGCGGGCCTTAACTTCACAGAGATCTGCCTGCCTCTACCTCCTGAGTGCTAGGATAAAGCTGTGCACCACACTGTCTGGCTGTATTTCTTTTCCTTTAAGACTTATTTCTACTTATGTGTATGCTGAGGCCAAAAGAAAGTGTCAAATCTCCTGAGCTGAAGTCATAAGTGAGAATTTGTGGGTGACAGGAATCAAACTTAGATCCTCAGCAAGAGATCCGAATCACCGAAACATCTCCCTGACCTACAGTTTGTATTTAAAGGCCAGCCTGTGCTTTATAGTAAGACTGTCTCAAAAAGCCAAAATACAGACGTACCCCTTACAGAGGAGTGTAGGGAGAGGAGGAGGGAGAGAAACATAAAAGGAGGAGGGACTAGTTGGGAAGAAGGAGATGAACAGTAGTGGGAAGAAGATAAGGGAAGGTGATGGGGGTATGATTATGGTACAATATACTGCATAAAATATAATACACGCATGAAATTGTCATATATATAAATGTAAAAATCCTCAGTATTTTCTCAAAATAATTATGTTAGAATTTATTACTTAATCATAAAATTTTCTACAATAAATATTCATCAAGAAATGCTTTCTCATCTAATTTTTAGAAAATGCTGAAAATTTTAAAAATCTGGATGAAATCATATTCATGATTTATATAGAAAAATATTTGTTATGGGAGCATGGGGTTCATAGGGAGGAGGGAGGAAGAGAGGGGAGCGGAGAGAAATATATAGCTAATAAAAACAAAAAAGAATAAAGAAAAAAGAAAAGTGGATTCTAGCCATAAACAAAGGACATTGAGCCTATGGTTGGCAATCCTAGAGAAGTTAAATAATAAGGTGAACACACACACACACACACACACACACACACACACACAAAAACATATATAGATCCTCCTGGAAATTGGAAGCAGACAAGATCACCAGGCAAAAGTTGGGAGCAGAGAGGTAGGGGTGGA